GGCTCCGTGTGCGAGGCGGCCTCGGATTCCTCGATCCTCTCCGCCGAGTTGGCGCCGCCGACCCCTCGGCGGGTGAGTGGCGTTCTCTAGCCTAGGGGAGCCGTTGAGCCTGTGCCCGCCCCGGGCTGGCGGGCCGCGTCTCGCGCACGCAGGTGGCTGTGGTTAACAAGTGGCCGACTGGTGGGGATGGCCCGCCGGCGTGCTCGAGGCTTAGTAGCCTGCCCCGGGGCTGTGAGGTCACCGCCGCCTGGGTGCGAACCCGGCTCCCCGCACGGTGGCAGCGCGCCCCCGGGCTCACCGGGAGTCGGGTTCCACCGGCACGCGGTCCTTCCGTCCAGCAGCAGACATTTTGTGACTGCCACGTGCTAGAGTAGTGAATGGTTGCACGATCTCTGGCACAACGAGGAGAGGTGGGCGCCCTCCCTGAGGACTTAATTCCAGACTCTTCCATGCAAATTAATCCAATACGGACTAAGGAAATTTAGCCAAAGTTCCTGAAAGAAAAATACATGCATGGGTCTTCAGATTGCTTAAAAATCTGGAATTTAAATTCTTTGTCGGATGCTTAAACCTAGAGGCCCTTACCTACTTGCATTCCCTTTGGGAACTAGAAGTGGCCTGTTCCCATTCTGTGGTGTTTTAATAGCCAAGGTGTATATATGTGTAGGTGCTGATTTTTTTTTTTCCATTTAAGCCTTAGGTCTTGCCCAAAATAGGCCTGAGCCCTGTGACTATTTGAAAATTAAAAGGTCAGTTTGTGGGTCATACTATACACTTGGATTGCCCCAGAGCAACAAGTGGCTAGGGGATACTGCATAGGACAACACTGGCTTCCAGAGCCCACTGGTTTGTTAAGTATGTGACTACCCACAGTAAACTAGAACCTGGGGAAACCAGTGTGAACAAGACAGGGAATCCCCTGCCCTCTGGAAGCATTAGACCCTGTGGGACACACTAGTTGCAGTTGCACTTTGGCAGGTTCTTAGAGGGATTTTGTAGAGGAGCTTCTTAGGAGGCAGGTGAAATTTGAAGGTAGAGAGGAATTCCCTAGGAACTCTTTTTTTTTTTTTTAAGTTTTGATGGACCTTTATTTTTATGTATGTATATATGCCGTGTTGAGAATTGAACCCAGTGTCTTACACGTGCCAAGCAAGCGCTCCACTGTTGAGCCACAACTCCAGCCCTCCTAGGGACTCTTTACAGGAAGAATGAAACCAGTGGCAGTTAGGACAGCTAAAGACTTTTTAAGAGAAAATCTGTAGATTTTGAAGGATTTGGTGGGCGCTTGGTACTGGGGATTGAATCCAGTGGTTCTCTACCACTGACTTAATGTCTCCATCTCTTTTTGTTTTGAGATGGGGTTAAATTGATAAATTGCTAGGCAGTCCTAGAACTTGGAATCCTTTTGCCTCAGCAAATGAGAGAATGGCATTACAGGCATAAAGGAAAATTTTAAGGCACATAAGAGTTTTCACAAAGGCATTATCCTTTAGACAAATGAAAAGTTCCAAGATGACCCCTTTAAAATCAAATAGTCACCTCACTTGTGATGTACTAGAATACAATTGGTATTGTCAGCTGTTAGGAAGTTGGGCTTGGCTTCTGGGTCCCTGCAGATTCTGGTCATTTGGAGAAATGTAAGATCCCACGCCCTGATGGAAGTATGGATAAGATGCTCTGAAATATAGGACACTGTGTTCCGTGGTTACTTTTAATGATTTCAAAGTCAAGTGAGATCTAAATGTTTTAGGAGGGTAAGTGGAGGGTTGATTATAAAACTCTCATGTTAAATCCAGGAGGACTGGAGGACTTTGTATATGGCTTTTTGTTTTAATTTTGGGACTTGAAGAAGACCCAGGTAACACTTGTTTGTTTTTTTTTACCAAGAATGCATAAGATACTAAGTTCAGGTTATGCATTACTATGTCCCTATTTCTATTAGGGGAGCTCATAAAGAATAATGTAATTAAATTTTTTCTAAGTCTCAAACATTTTATTTTTTGGTGCTGAGGACTAAATCTCGCCCATCCTCTAGGGAATGTTTTCTATAAAACATCACTTCATTAAGAGTAAATTGTTCAGACATAACTTTGCTATGTTCATGTATGAATATACAACCAGTGTAACTCCCCATCATGTCCAACAGAAGAATGGGAAATTATACTCCATAAATGTATAACGCGTCAAAATACTCTTCTGTTGTGTATTTTAAAAACAACAACAGGTACATCATAGTGCTAGGAAATACATATATACCACAAAAATTGGTAGTGAGGTGAGAAGATACTGACATGGAATAAATAGCAAGATGTGACCCTCATTTAGCTGTGTTCCACACTAAGGAATACCTATTCTATAAAAAAGAGGTTCTCTGTCCTTTTATTATGTGAACATGTTACTCATTTGTTATAAGCACCTATCAACCCTGCATCTCTGGGGTCAGCTAGTCTTCATATTTCCTATTAAAATTTTTTTCAAAGTTAGAAAACCAAGTAGTTCCTTCCTGAAGTTAAAAAGTCTGTGCCCATGTGAAACAAATGGTGTGCTGTGTGCTGGACTGTGACATGCCTTAGGCTTCTGGCAAGTATTCTCTCTATTTAGTACTATTTGATTTGGGGGGGGGGGATAGATTTCCCTTAGCTTGCATCTTCCTTTTTTGGCCCCAACATCTATTGTTGTCTACTATGATGCTGTTTTGAGCTCCGTTAGGTATTCTAATTGGTTGCATAGCAATTAATTAGATTTTTCCTTATGTAACCAATACATCTTTGTTGAAGAAAAATTAGATACAAATAAGCCAAAAGATAGTAGATATAGATAAGAAAAGGAAAAAAATTATACATACCTGTCCTACCATCTGTATTCATTTTGGTGTAGTCTACCAGAATGTTCAATTTTTTTTTTTTAATTTAGATCATATTATCAATGTATATACTGTCTTGTGGCCTCTTAAAAGTTATTCACTGCATCATTTTTCAAAAATATCTATCACTATTTAATGATTCACAGCCTCCTTATTAATATCTCAGAAGATCAAAACTTAACTGTCCCCTTAGGTTGCTTGTAAGGGTTTCTTTTTCTACCAGATTGCTTTTTAGAATCCTTCTCTTTACACACCCACCAGAAGGATATGGTTGTTTCTTTCCCAGGTGCCAATAGTTCTAAACATCTAAACATCAATGTAAATGTGCTGTATTGTCACTTTGAAAAATTTTATGGGGGTTATTGAGCCCAGGGACTCTTTTACCACAAAGCTTCATCCCCTTTAGTCATGGTCTCACTAAGTTCTTGAGGTTGGCCTTGAACTTTTGATCATCCTAGGGAGTCTATGCCCAGTCACTGTTATTACAGGCTTAATAACACTATACCACCCAGCTTGAAAACATTCTTTTAAAATAATAGGATAGAAAATTTGAATATTGGCTAACTCAGAAGGATGAAAATGGGTAAGGAATACAGGGTTTGCTTTTTCTTGCTACATTTTTTGATTATTTCATTTAACTGTAATGATCATGTATTTTGTAATTAGAAGAGATGGATAACTCAATAGTATTTAATTCTTCCATATCTTCTTCCTCCTATGACAGAAGCAGGTTATAATTGGAGACAATCACCCAACCAGTTAGTAAAATTAGTCTTTTTTTTCAGATAGTAGCTGGGGAAGTAGAAAGTGAGAGCAAGTTGGACAGGATGAAAGAGGAAAATGCCTATGTGAGTTGGGTGATTGCTGCTACTAGGGAGGCTGAGGCAGGAGCACCCCAAGTTGGAGAATGCCTGGCAATTTAATGAGACCCTGTCTGACAATAATTTTTTTTAAAAAGGGACAAAAATATAGTTCATGGCAGAGCACTTGCCTAACATGCACAAGGCCCTGGATTCAATCTCTAGAACTGCAAAAGCATTTTTAAATTTCTTGTGGTATCATGGATTGAACTCAGGAGTGAGTGCTCCACCAGTGAGGTAAGTCCCCAGCTCCTTTTTTAAATTTAAATTTAAATTTTTTACTTGTAGGTGAACATAATACCTTTATGTAGTGCTGAGGATTGAATCCAGGCCTCACACATGCGAGATGAGCATTCTGTCACTGATGCACAACCCCAGACCTTATCCAGCTCTTTTTATGTTTTGACATGGTGGGGAGGGGGACTGGGGTTGTGGCTCAGCAGTAGAACCTCAGCACCACATAGAAATGAATAAAATAAAGGTATTTTGACACAGGGTCTCACTAAGTTGCTGCAGCTAACCTCGAACGTGTGATCCTCCTGCCTCCATATCCCAAGTTGTTGGAATTACAGTTGTGCGTCTTTGTGCCAACTGCAAAAATAATTTTTTATTACTAATAACTGTAGGAAACATAATTAAAGTAGTGAGGTTTGTTTTTAGTTTTTAATGTTTACTGTAAATTGGTGTTTGATTAAAAAGCAAGTTTAATTGGAGAGTAAGAAATAGGAGTAAATTTAGCCGTCAAATTAAACAGTCCTTTGAGAAGAATACCAGCTAAATGTCTTGGACCAAATAGCTCCCTAACTTGTATGCACAAGTGTACAAGTGTCTGTCCAAACATTCCTCCTTAAATAGTAGCCCTGAGAATTTGGAACACAGTAAGGAGAAAGATGGGGCCTTTCCCCGTGGATTAGAACTTCTGGGGTGGGGAATTATATTCGTATTACCCTATCTTGTCTCCAGCAACCTCTTCCTTCCCTTGCAAGACAGTCTGAATCACTTTATACCCAAGAAAGAATGAGGGGAAGCTTAGTTACTCCTGTGGTGACCCACTCAGAATCTCAGTTCAGTATAAAGATTATTTTAAATTGAAGACATAAGAAATTAAACAAATGCAAAAAGGAACCTACTTGGAGCTTACTTATCTGACTTCAAAGGAAACCCTTCTGAGGAAATGACAAAATTCTCTCTTTAGGGTGTCTTCTCCCTGGGTAAACTACCATAAAAGCCCCTTTCAATGGTAGTTTGTGACTCTAAACTTTTTCTTATTTCCCTTTTGTTCTCTTAAGAATTCTATTTGCCTTTAGTGAAGAATCTTCTCATTCTTTTAAAAAGGAGATTCCTAAGCCCCTAATTCTCACCCACTTTGAGTTCTTCATCAGAGTATATGCACGTTTGAATGCATGTTGCACTCATAGGTAAGTTTTATTTTTATACATTTCTTGTGTCAGTTTAATTTACTGAATATAAGTATTCCCTCGACCATATATGCTGCTATATATGCTATATTCTCTGCTCCTAAAATGAGAACGGAACATTTTTTTTTTTTTTTGCCAATGTTCTGTCTAAAACTTGAGACAGATTCAAAGGCTGCTGATGGGGCTTTCAGACCTTTCAGACCTGTTATCTTGGAGCACAGCCCTAAATGAAGCCCTGCCCTGGTCTCTGCTTTATACAGCACTTCTTTTCTTCTCTGTGCTTATTCTCCAGCGTCTCATCATCTTACTGTGCCTCCTGAGCTCTGCTCTGGGAGAGGCACTTTTCTTTACATTCTTAGCCCCCCAGAAAGAGGCATTATTTATAATAGAAAAAATGGGGAACGTGTTCAATAGTGAAGGTTGGAAGGTGATTTATGGTATATTCATATACAGATTTCTCCAGTAAAATATTTGCAGTTTTATTTTTGTGGTACTAGGGATTAAAACCAAGGCTGACACATGCTACCATCATAGAACTACATCACCTGCCCATTTGTTTTATGTTTAGGACAGGGTCTGGATAAGTTGCTGAAGCTGCCCTCCAACTTGTCTCAAGTTATATGATTCTGAATGCACAAAGACTAAAACAAATATATATGTGTATATATAATGGTGGCATTAATATATTGCGTTTGTGGGGGACAATGCTGAGGGTGAAACTCAGGGCCTTGCACATGCAAAGCAGATGCTCCACACCTCTAGCCCACAATGACTTTTTAAAAAATTTTATTTTTTGAATAGATTAATAGTTCATTGTTGAAATTATTACGGAAATGTCTTTTAGCTTTTTACTTTCCTATACTGTAGGCATTATTACTGAGATATCTTGTATGCATCTAAATAAAAATGTTCTATTTCACACATTTTATCATTGTACATGTATTTTATACATTGCTTATATCAGCATGTATTCTGAAAATGAGTCCCTTTATTGATGGGTATTTTAAGTGGTTTCCTAATTTTTTCCATCCTTTTTTTCCCCCCTTTATTTTTACCCAGTAACTTCTTATGCTATATTTTAGCCGTTTTGGGCTACTATAATAAATGACTTAGACTGGATAACTTGTAAATGATAGGAATTTTATTGCTTACAGTTCTGGAGTCTGGGAAATTTAGGGTCTAGGTCCATGGGATTCATTGTAGAAAGGGCCTTTTAGCCAACACACTGGCACATGCTTGTAATCCCAGTGATTGAGGAAGCTGAGGCAGGAGGATCACAAGTTCAAAGCCAGCCTCAGAAGATTAGCGAACCCTATGCAACTTAGTGTGACTCTATCTCAAAATAATTAAAAGGGCTGGAGATGTGGCTCGGTGGTTAAGCACCACTGGGTTCAGTCATAGTACCAAAAAAAAGCCCCACCTCTTAATATTAACTGTGGGTATTTAGGTTTCAACATGAATTTTTGGTGAATACTAGAATTCAAACTACATTTATGTTATAAACTTTTCCAGGTGTTTGAAACTACTGCTTTAGCTTTGAGTAACACTTTAACAGGGTCTCCCAAAGTTCCTGAGGGCAGATTCCAATTTGTTGATCCCTCTGTCTCATCCTCCAGTAGCAGGAATATATGCATGTGCCATCACACCTGGCTGCCCCCTTAATACATATAGATAGTACAAATAAAGTGAACAGAGGTCCCTGACATTCCACCCATTCCCTTTCCCTAAAGGTTATTTTCTGAGCATTTCTGTGCTAGGCTGTGACAGCTTCATGAGGTGTAGGTATTATCTCTATAGAAAACTAAGGCACAAAGAAGTTAAGTGACTTGCCCAGAGTCATACAGGTTCCAGGGGCAGAACCAGGATTTGACCCCAGGTATTTATCTCCAGAGCCCAGCTTTGGTCACCGTTGACCTTGAATTTTCAGGTGTCCTGATTCTTTGTCAGAAAACAGAAGAATGCAAAAGTATCTAAAGTGGAAGGAAGGAAAGGAAGAAGTAAAAATTACAATAGGCCTGTGTGTATCCTTAAACCAAGAATTCTGAAGAGGAAGTAGCCAGGGTAGTAAGTAAGTGGCCAGGCCTTTATGGTGATGTGGGAATTGCTGACTCTGAATCTATTTCCTTTGTAAATGAGTGGAATGAAGTGCTTGTACAAAGAATAACAAAAGAGTAAGTACTCCATAATTGATAGCAATTAATAGAATAGAGTAGCAGCCTTAGATTTTGTATGGGAGGATAAAGATATTGTTCTTTGCTCCTGTTCTCTTTAGATTCTCAGCATCTCTTCCATGTGCATGCTTGTTTAATGCTATTGAACATAGTAGATTCATGCAAGAATGCCTTTGTGGGGCAGTTAAAACTGTAATTTGCATCACTGTAAGTAGACCAAAGGGTGTTAAATAAAGTTGCAAGTTTCAGAGTCAGCCCTAAAGCAAGAATAGCAATGGGGATTATCAGAGTAAATCTACACAGACTATTGAATAATTAGTATTCAAATCATCAGCTATGATACCCTTAAATGGATTTGAATTCTGAGAAAAGGAGAATTTAAGGCCTGGAAAAGGGAATCTGCCCCAGAAAAATCTTCCTCACTTGTAATTCAGATGATATTTTTACTTGGAATTCAGGACTCTTCTACCTTGATGCCTTCCAGCACCGAGATAATGTTGGTAAAGATTAATAAGTCCAGAGTTGGAAGCATGCTAGTGAAGAAACCTTTAGACATAGCTTGTTAGTGATCTTGATAGAACAGTAAAGCCTCTCCTCTTTTCCTATGGTTGAGTCAGGCCAAAAGGGAGAGAATGCCTCTGCACTTGGATAGACCTCCCACCACCTCCACCATTGAACACAGACTTGGGGAAAGGAGTTAGTGAGACATACTTTCTTCACTTAATTGAGAGCTGGAATTTCTATTTCTAAAAAATGGAGAGTAAATCATTAGACCATAGAATAACATTCCATCTTTGAACTTAGTAGTATATTACTTCTGATGATCTAAGGATTTTTCAGTTATTTATAACTGTGATCTTGGTCTAATAAAATGCTGCTCTAACATGTGTTTTTGTTTTTGTTTTTTTGTATTGGGGATTGAACCAAGGGCACTTAATCACTGACACTGAACCACAAAGGCATGGTTTCATTAAGTTGCTTAGGGCCTCCCAAGTTGCTGAAATTACAGGCATATGTGGGTGTGTTTTTGAGGGGCATTTATTGTTGGAGTTTTTTGTTTGTTCTTTGTTATTTTCTACATGTTCTTGAAGGCTTGTCCCTCTCCTTTTGTCATTCACAGGTTCGAGAACTTGTCTTGGACAATTGCAAATCAAATGATGGAAAAATTGAGGGCTTAACTGCTGAATTTGTGAACTTGGAGTTCCTCAGTTTAATAAATGTAGGCTTGATTTCAGTTTCAAATCTCCCCAAGCTACCTAAATTGAAAAAGGTAAGTATTTTTTCTTTGATACAGGTAAGAGAGAACCAATTAGGAAAGGAAAAATGTATGATTTTTGCCTATAAGGAAGCGGTACAGCAGAAAGCACATGGCCTTTGGAACTGGGTATATATAGTGTTGGGTTCCAGCTCTGTCACTTCCTTGATGGGTGATCTTCTGCTGGTTCCTTTATCTCCCAGGCTGTTTCCTTAACTGGAATCTGGGATACCATTTAATCTTGCAGAATTGCAGTGATATTTGGAGGTGTTCTGTGTTGGATGTTTAATAAATAGTAGTTATAAGTATGCTCTGGTTAAAAGAACCACAGTGCCTCCCATTCTTGGTATTATATGTCTGTTGATTAAGGGTGAGCTTAAATAAAATTTACAGACTTTATAGTCCATGGTAATTCAAGCCATTATGTGATTCTTCATGACTAGCAAGTTTGAAGTGTGTTGATTGATAAGAATTACTTTCCTATCCTAGTTGATGGCTCATTCATCATTTGTACTCTTATATTAATGCACTTGTCTACCCTCCTCCAGTTCTATTCCCTTATAAGCGCAGCAACTGGCTTAGAAAGGGACAGCAGTTTGCTTAACACTTCCCATAGAAGTGGTTAGAGCCAAAATTAGAACCCATACCTCCTAATCTAGTACCGTTTCCATTAAAAGGAAAAGATGTATGGTTATGTAAAGTTTTGCAGAATTCACCACTGTTCCAGTATTCACTTTATTAGAGAACAAATGTTGAACCTTTATTTTAAATGAAAGAACACATAAATGAAATTTTTTAGGAGGCTGGGGCAGGAGAATCAATCACAGGTTTGAAGCCAGCTTGAGCAACTTAGCATGACCCTATCTCAAGGTAAAAAAATAAAAAGGTCTGGGGATGTGGCTTAGTTGTGAAGCATCCCTAGGTTCAATTTCTAGCATTAAAAAAGAAAAAGAAAAGAAATTTTATGATCATTTTTAGGTAAAGGACACATAGGCTATTTGGTTTGACGTTAACTACATGAATTTAAAACACTAAAAGTGTGTGCCCCTTCCCCATCTTATTTTCTTTGCTTGTTAGATGTCAGGTAATACAAGTTTAGTCAGTCCTTGTGAGTTCTGCTGCAGAGATTCAAGTATAATCCTGTTGCATTTGCATTTGTCAGAGACACTGGAAACACAGCCTACTTAAACTTTTGTTTAGCATAACCTTGATGCTAGTAGATTATATTCTGTTATGTGTTAAGTGTGTTTTATATTCTGTTATGTTTTCTTGGCACCCTGCTAAGTTTTCCCCGAATTACTATTACTGTGTATTGTCAGGTATATTTAGAAAGTCATCCTCCCAGTAATTATTAAATCTTTCTGAGATTTTTAAATATCAGTTACTTGTGGACAATGAGTGGGACTCTTAAAGGCAGTTTGAATGTCCTCATAGCTAGTAGTGGTTCTAGAGCACAGACTGTTATAACAAGAAAAAGCACTAAGAAAAATAAGTCACAAATTTCTTAGATTTACACATTTATTTCATTTCAAAATAAATATGCTAATAAATGCTGTGGTAGATCGCCTTGTTACCCTAGTTGTTCATGTTGGAAAGATGTGTGACTATTACCTGAATGTAATATTTTGACCACATGTCCTAAACACACACCAAGACAAGTGATCTCAGTTTGTATTTTGCTTTTTAAAAATTCAGTAAAGCTAACAATAGTATTATAGACATGCATGCGTGTGTGTGTGTGTGTGTGTGTGTGTGTGTGTGTTTTGTGTGTGAGAGAGTGAGAGATACATACATACATACTAGGGATAGAACTTTGGGCCTCATGCATGTTAGGCAAGTGCTCTTTGTTGAGGTACATCTTCAGCCTTTTTTTGAATTTTGAGACAGGGTCTCTTAACTTACCTAGGCTCACCTCGACTTGCAGTCCTTCTGCCTCAACTCTCTTAAATAGCTGGAATATCAGGCATGTGTCACTATGCCCAGCTCGACTAATATTTTAAATCCTAGACCATGGCTAGAGTTTTTAAAAATTTCTCTATTTTGCATCATGTAGTATATTCCATTGCATACCAAAGACTTCATTACATGAAGTTTTTCATACATAGCACGTGGAGTACAATAGCTTAATGGGGAGGGCATAGATTCTTAGAAAGCTAGCCTACCTGACTTTGAATCATGGGCCCACCATTGTAATAGCTGTGTGATTTTTATTAAGGCCAGTTACATTTTTATGGTTAATTTTACCTATCTGTAAGTGGGAGTAATAATTCTACCTACCCCTTAGGGTTGTTGAGATCAAATGAAGTTAATCTGTGTTTAGTGCTTTGAACAGTGCTTGGCACCTATGTATACTATGTATGGGAAATAGAGAATTGGAACTAGCTTTGTGCCTGAATTTTTTTTTCATCTGTAAGAGGAAGAGCTTGGATGATGTTCTCCACAGTACCTTCCAGGCTCCAGTTACTTGTACTCTAAGACGCTAATCCTCCTTGGTGAATTCTTACTCCTTCATGGGCACGCCATTTGCATGTGATGCTTGACCTGCAGCTAAGAAATTAGAGTAGGTTCTTGTAAAGGCAGTGCCAGGGTTATGCAAGGTTATGCAAGAACTGGCCTTAAGGGAGCTGGTTTCATAAACTCAGGCTTTTTCACTTTTCTGCCTTTCTTTCTCTTCTTGGTGCTGGGAATTGAACCTAGGGCCTCAAGCTTGGTAAACACACACCATACCACTGAGCTCTTCCCCAGGCCCCTGCCTCACTCTTTCCTAATGTTTTTGGAGCTTTTCTTTTCTTTTTTTTTTTTTCCTTTTGCTGTGCTGGCAGTTGAGTGGCTGAGCTGTATCCCTAGCTTTTTGAGACAGTGTCTTTGCTAAATTGCTGCTGGCCTCAAACTTACCATCCTCCTGCCTCAGCCTCCAGAGTAGCTGAGTTTATAGGTATGTGCCACTGTGCCCAGCATCTTAGAGTTTCTTTATGGGCTCATTTTTGGGGCCTGTCCCCGTGTCTTCCACAATGTGGTTAGTATTGTCTAGAACCAGGTTGTTTCAAATAGGCATTGCAAACTTTCCTTGGCACACAAATAAACTGCTCAGAATGCATGGAATATTTACCCTTCCTGCTGGCAGGTATAGAGTATTACAACTTATAGAATTCTAATTATTTTGATCCATTTTTTATGCTAGAGCATGTATTCATTGATGTTGGAGGTTAATTCTTAAGCAAACTGTTATTAGTTTATGAAGAAACACGGCATTTCTCACCTTGTCTTATTACCTACCTCAACACCAAATGTTGCTGGGATCTGGGAACTACTTATTTGGATTTAAACAAGATAAACGTATACCTTAAAGAAATAAGGGTTGGTTGTTCTTGATGAGCCAGGTGCAGTGTCATGCACCTGTAACCCCAACTACTCAGGAAGTTGAGGCAGATGAATTGCAAGTTTGAGGTCAATCTCAGCAATTTTAAGAGGGCTGGAGATGTAGCTTAGTGCTTACCTAGCATGTGCAAGGCCCTGGGTTCA